CACCTTCCCGCCGAAGTCCCGGGGTCCTCACCCTGCGGGAAGGGCTGGCCGAGGCGGCGCCAGAAGCCTCTGCGGCCCCGTAGCTGCCCTTGGGCTCCAGCTGGGGTCTCCCCCAGAGCTGCGCGCTAGCGGCGGCCTGTTGAGGACCTGAAGACCGACCTCCACGGGGTTGGCCGCCGCTGTGCCTGATCGTAGAGATTGCGGTCACACCGCGAGGGACACCGCACACCGCTCAGTGCAGTGCTCGCCGATGAGTTTTGTACAGCGGCAGACCCGGCCCAGCTCTGCAGACCGCTCAAGGATCAGCGAGCCTTTCCCCGGAGGGGGCCTCTCCCGGCGATCGGGAGAGCAGCCCAGGACACGTCAGTCTTACCACTTCCGCCCTCATCCGCGGGGACCTCAGCCCGGCTGGAAGCTTCTTCCTATACCGTAGAGGGGCGCACGGACGGCCCCGCTGACGGTTTTCTGGGCAGGGCCTGTGGTCGATGCCTGCCTACCAAGATGCAGGCGCCTTTTCGGGAAAAGAGTTGTCGCTGGGAAGCCCTCCTGTCCTCGGGAAGGTTGAGGACAGAGGCCTTGAGAGCAGTGCCCGCCGCGCACGCGCCCAGTGACCGTCCAGGACGTTGAACCCCGGCGGCGACCCTAACCACGTCTAGTGGACACCCCCATGCGTTTGCCGGCTGCACCAGTGGCACTCGCCACCGACTGCTGAGGCCGAGACCTGAGTGGTTCATGGTCCCCAACCTGGGCTGGGGTGAGGCTTTGGGCATCGCTTTGTTAGGACAACGAGGGCACAGCCTATACGAAGGTCCTGGAGTGTGGATCTCGCCTCACTCTTACCCGTCTTGAATCGCTTCCCGCTAAAAAAATACGTAGATAAAAGTATCTTCCCGGGGCTGTATTGGAGGCCTCCTTGGCTATATAATGACGATATAGCCATTATCGACGATAATGTCTGACGATAGGCAAGCCTGAGCGAGGTCTGATGTAGAGGCGCACAAAGAGGGTGTCTGCCCTTTTACCCTGTGAATTGAGCAGCCTTGACAGGGGTACTGTTAACTGCAGGTGAAGTACCTTACCATGCGTTCCTCTTTCCTGTTTTTGTTCTTGTTTATTTGGACGTCTCCTAATTTTGTATTGCAGATTATCCTGGAAAAGTTTACCTTTGTCTGTCTCAACTCTGTTTTAAGGGGATCTGCCTTTAGGGGCATTTCCCCTGGAGATCAGACCTAGAAGCAGTGACTTTCCTTGGGCCACCTGGGTAAAGATGCTGAAAGTCACAAGTGGCTTCTGACATGAAATGTCCTTCATTTATCTACATCTGCCCTCTCTGATCCAGCCCTCCTTCCTGCAGGCGATGAGGTTCCAGGAAGTAGGGGGTTGAATCTTTTTAGACAATCAGTGAATTTTGTAATTAGAAAGTAGTTTAGAGTGGCTTTGGAATAGTCTTTAAGTGTCAACCACCCGTCTCTAAAGCCAGAAACTTGCGTCTCTTTCTCAATTACTACCCTCCTTCCGTCCTCCACATCAGTGCCACCAAGCCCCTTCTGCTTATTTCCTGAATATCTTCCATATACCTGCCCTCCGTGGTTGTCTTGGTTCAGGCCCATCTTTTCATCTAAATTACCATGAGTGAGCCACCTAGCTAATCTCTTCATCACCTCCCCGACTTGGATACATTTCCCACTCTGCTGCTGAAAGAATTTATTTTTTAATCCTAAAGGTGTCCTGCAACAGTGATTCTCAAATCTTCCTGTGCATTAGATTCAACTAACAGCTTATTAAAAACAAAGATAACGCCTGCAGGCATGGCTCAGCAGTTGAGCATCGACCTAGGATCCAGGAGATGGAGATTTGATTCCTGTTCAGGATACATGCCTGGGTTTTGGGCTCCGTCCCCAGCAGGGGGCATGCAGGAGGCAGCCAATAATGACTCTCTCTCATCATTGTTTCTGTCTCTCCCTCTTCCTTCCTCTCTTTGAAATCAATAAAAATATATTAGAAAAACAAAACAGATACCTGGGTACCACCAAATCAGGATCTTAGGGGAGTAGGTGACTGGGCATCAGTATTTTTTGTTTTGTTTTGTTAATCCTTACCTGAGGACATTTTTTCCATTGCTTTTCAGAGTGGAAGGGAGAGAGACATCGATGTGAGAGAGGTGTATTGACTGGTTTTCTCCCATACTTGCCCTGACTGGAGCTGGGGATTGAACCTGCAACCGAGGTACATGCCCTTGGCTGGAAACCCTGGACCCTTCAGTCTGCAGGCCGACACTCTAACCACTGAGCAAACTCGCTAGGGCTTGTTTTGTTTTTTAACTTATCTTTATTGCTGAAAGTATTACAGATGTCCCTTTTTCCCATTGATCTCCTCCATCCCACGTCAGCCCCACCCCCAGGCCTTCCCCACACTGTTGTCTGTGACCATGGGTTATGTATGTATGCATGAAAGTTCTTTGATTAACCTTTCCCCACCCACTCACCCATTCCCTGCCTTCCCTCTAAGGTTCATCATTCTGTTGCATGTTTCTGTGTCTCTGGATCTGTTTTGTTCATCAGTTTATATTGTTCATTAGATTCCACATATGAGTGAGATCATGTAAAACTGAATCAGGAAGAATCAGAAGACCTGAATAGGCCAGTAACAGCTGGTGAAATTGAAGCAGTAATAAAAAACTCCCAGCAAACAAAAGCCCTGGTCTGGATGGCTTCATAGGGGAGCCTTACCAAGTATTCTAATTATTACAGCAGTCCCTTTAACATTTCTTGCAGTGCTGGTTTGGTGGTGATAAACTCCTTTAGCCTTTTTTTATCAGACGTAGATCTTAATTATTTTTTTAGGTACATTCCCCTTCTATAATCCTACCCTGTATGCAAGTTAAAATTCTTTTTTTTTTCTTTATTGATTTTAGGGAGAGAAACATCGATTTGTTGTTCTACTTATTTATGCATTTATTGGTTGCTTCTTGTATGTGCCCTGACTGGAGATCGTACCGCCAACTTTGGCATATTGGGACGATGCTCTAACCAACTTCTACCCATCCAGGGCTCAAATTGAAATTCTAAATGTCATGTCCTCTCAAGCCTACCAGCCTCTTGTGGTTCCTGCTGCCTAAACTGCCCAATCTACCATTCCCTACTTACCTGCCTGGAGACTTCTTTTGAACAGTGCAAGTGCTACCTTTTCTATAAAGCCTTCCCTTACATTTCTCCTTCCAGGCTTGCAGCACTTTATCTCACTGTACTGTTATCTATTTCTTATGTGTCTGTCTCCCTTGTTAACTGTTAACTCCTTGCAGAAATTTATCCATCTTGGTATCCTCAGGACCTAGTAGTGCTTTTGTATATAGTAGGCAGCTTAATACACGATCCTCGAATGAAATGCTTACCCCACCCCCACCCCCTTACCACAGTGTGCCCTGGACAGCTGCTCATCTTGATAGATTGAGGATGTAGATCCAGTGTTCAACAGGACTTGGAGCAGTAGCCTATGGCATAATCTGTTGTTGGAGTTTGTTTTATTTTGGAGGATGGAAGAAAAAAGACACCTGATTCTTCTCTTGTTTTTTCCTCTGCATGCCCCTTGCTCCTCCCTCTACATCTTAAATCCAGACCACCTCTCTGACCACAACCTCTTGTCTTGGCATTCCCACCAAATTTGTTCTTCTGTTTCATTGGGACATAGAACCCCTCCTCCTGCTCTGTTGGCTTTTTTCTATACTGTTTTTCTAACACATGCAGCTTAGATTCTGCATTCCATCATTTCAGCTGCATTCTTACCTGCTTTTTAAAATTTTTTTTTTTTTAATTGATTTTAGAGAGAGGAAGGGAAAGAGAAAAACATCAACTGATTGCCTCCCCTATTTGCCCCAACTGGGAATTGAACCTGCAACCTGGCTATGTGCCTGACTGGGAATTGAACCTGCCACTTTCTGCTGTAGGGGATGATGCTCCAACTGAACCACACCAGCCAGGGCCTTGCTATGTTCTTGATGCCTGCATTCTTTCAGTGCAGCTGCCAAGTGAAACCTTAATCTTGGGTTAATTCATCTGTCAATATACAAGCACCTATACCCAGAATGCTAAAAGAAATTTTTTTAAAAAAATATAGTATCAATGATGAGAGAGTCATTGATAGAGCCCACAACCCAGGCATGTGCCCTGACTGGGAATTGAACCCCGATTGCCTGGACCCTAGGTCAATGCTCAACCGCTGAGCCACGCCCAGCCGACGAAAAGAATCTTAACACTGATGTGTTAAGATCATGTGTCTCATGGGGATAGGGTTGGGGTGGAGGTGGAAGAGGGCATAGAAGGGAAAAATGGTGATGGAAAAAATAAAATAATATTTTTAAAAAGATAATGTGTCTCTAAATTGTGCTCTCCAACCTCAGTTGGGTCCTCAGTGCTGCCCAGTAATCCTGCTCATTTTCCAAATCAGCTGTCTTCCATTCTCTACAACCCATTTTCAACCCTTGACTTCATTGCCTCATCAGTTGACCTCCCTGATAGCCTAATGGGAGATGTAACCAAGAAAAGCAATTACAGACACTACAGCAGGTGCTGTGACAGAAAGTATTGGGAGCATCCAGGAGGCAGGAACATCTAATTTGGGCTTGAGCAGTTAGTAAAGGCTTCCTTAAAATAGCTCATCAGTTAAGCCTTGAAGGGAGAGCATGAGCTTGCCAAAACTAGGAACACTGAAGGAAAAGCAATTGTTTGGCTGCAGCATTGAGTGTATGTTCGAAGGTAAAATTGGAGAAGTAGGCAGGATCAGATCTTGAAGTTACACAAAAGAATTTGTACTTGATCCTGAGGAGAATGATGACACATTAAATTGTTTTAAATGGAAATAAAATTAAATTTATGCCTTGGACTTAAGGATGAAGTAGTTTAGGGTCATGGAAGGGAAGATAAGAATGCATTTCAAGGTTAAGAGGTGGAGTCTACCTCTACACACCTTCGATCTGAGTGATCCTTATAACCTTGTAATTGTCTTTACTCATATGAAAGTATGGAAATGATGCTTTGTGGCTTTAGAGCCTAGCCTCAATTGCTCATGCAACTCGTGATTTTTTTCTCTCTTGAAATTCAGTGCCACTATGTGAGTGAACTCAGGCTAGTCTGCTGGATAAAGAATATGGAGCAGAAACAGACCATCCCAGCTGAGATGAGACCACCAGATGAAACACCCAACTAAGCCTAGACCAATTTGAAGAAAAAAAAAAGTTGTTTTAAGCCAAAAAAGAAAAAGTACGAATTTTAAAGTTAGATTCCTTAGAACATGATTCTACAATACCTTGCAATTCTCTTTAATATTCTCACACTCTTGTGTTTCTCACGTTGGACTATAAAATCTGGGAGCACAGGATCTACTGGCCTTTCTTATTTTATCCCAGTACTCAGCATGCTACCTGGCACATAGTAGGTGCTCAAAACACATGAGTGGTTGGAGGGACCAGATCTCTGGAGTCTCACCAGATTGTGAATGCGCCTCCAGGAATGAATATGTTCCAAACTGTACTTTATTCTCAAGTCTTGTGGCCAACGGTGAATAGAAGGTGAATTGTGATGTGTGTGGAACATGGGACCTTGGGGAATTCCATAACCGAGAGGAGAATGATGTAACAACAGCTAGTGGAGACAAAGAATTGCTTCTCCCTTTTTCCCCCTCCAAGTTTCCAGTGGAGAGCTGAACTCAGCATCCCAGACTTGTGTGACTACACAGGCAAGCATTTGGAGACTAACTTCATTTTGGTACCGTAGCCCTCAGTGGCTCAGGTGTTGGCTTTCAGAGCAGACAGGAGGTTTTTAAGAAGCAAAACTCCCTGGCTCTCAGCAAGCCCAGCGCCATGGGGAAGGGAGACACCCAGGAGGCAGCACCACCCACCTCAACCTACCGCTCTGTCATGGAGGAGTATGGTTATGAAGTGGGCAAGGCCATTGGTAATGGCTCCTATGGGACAGTGTATGAGGCTTACTACACAAAGCAGAAGGTCATGGTGGCTGTTAAGATCATCTCAAAGAAGAAAGCCTCTGAGGACTATCTTAACAAGTTCCTGCCCCGTGAGATACAGGTTGGAAAGGGGACTGGAAGAGGGAACTGGTACCAAGCTGCTTAAGGCTTCTCAGAAGGGGTATGGTTAGGAGGGGGTGGGGCCAGAAACCCCCAAGCCAGAACTGAATGTCTCACTATGCAGCTAGGAAAATTACTTGATGTAAATTCAACCTCTTTCCACCCACTGACCTCCAGCCCCTCAAAACAAGGAAAGTGCAAAGCACAGGGTTTGCCCACAGGCCACCAACCTTCTCGGGTTTGATCCTTTTGCAAAGTTCTATGAAAGCAGCACTGGGAGAGTAGGGGGGCTGGGAGCATAGCCAGGGCTCTCCCTTCTCAGGTTTGATGGGTCCCTCTTCTGAGGCCAGGTAATGAAGGTCCTGCGGCACAAGTATCTCATCAACTTCTATCAGGCCATCGAGACCACATCCCGAGTGTACATAATTCTGGAGCTGGCTCAGGGTGGTGACGTCCTTGAATGGGTCCAGCGCTATGGGGCCTGCTCTGAGGCCCTTGCTGGCAAGTGGTTCTCCCAGATGACCCTGGGCATCGCCTATCTGCACAGCAAGGGCATCGTGCACCGGTGAGTGTGCTGCCATCCGGACTGGGGCCTTTGGGCCCTCAAGGGGGTTTTATGCACATCTCCCATTTCCTGCCCTGTTTTTTCCTCCTTTGACCTCCCTCCTCAGTGTCTAGGCCCATTCATCCATTCTATTTTAGTCATCTGGTCAAGAACATTTATTAAGTACCCACTGTGAGCAGAGCACTTTATGAAATGGTGAGCTCCTAGGAGTCCGCAGGTACCGTCCTCTCGCCTCTTTGGGCTCTGCTCACAACTCCATGGCTTTTCTTCCTCTCTACCTTGTGTTCTCACAATGGCATCTCTTTTCCACTATGCCTTTCTTCATCTCTAGCCTCTGAACCCTGGCCTTTCAGCTCTGGGTCTAATACTAAGCCGTCTCCCTGACCCCCAGCCTTTCTGCTGCTTGTAGGGACTTAAAGTTGGAGAATCTATTGCTGGATAAGCGGGAGAACGTGAAGATATCGGACTTTGGTTTTGCCAAAATGGTGACTTCTAACCACACTGTGCGTAGTAGTCCTTCTTACCGCCAAACGAACTGCTTTACCCACCTCAGCCAGACCTACTGTGGCAGCTTTGCTTATGCCTGCCCAGAGATCTTGTTAGGCTTGCCCTACAACCCTTTCCTGTCCGACACCTGGAGCATGGGCGTCATCCTCTACACTCTAGTGGTCGCCCGTCTGCCCTTTGATGACACCAATCTCAAGAAACTGCTGAAGGAGACTCAGAAGGAGGTCACTTTTCCACCTAATTTGTCCATCTCCCAGGAGTGCAAGGTGCTGGCTCCCCCAGTAGGACTAAGGACTCAGGGATGACCCACAGGGAGGGAACCCAACCTAGGCCTCCCAACCCTGGAGAAGGCTCTTCCCCACCAGAGCCATCTCACACTCAAGTCCCTGCCCTAGAATAGTGGGAAGGGTTTAAAGGGCCAACCACTGGACTCCACATTTAGATGTGAGTGGTGAGGAGGATTCAGCTTGTATCTTTTTAGGACAGAGGGGATTATGCAAGGGATTCCCCCAATAAATTAAAGGCCTAGCTCCTCAGGATAAAATCAGGGCCACACCCCCTTCTATCAGAGTGGTGTGATGGGCTATCCTGCTTCTTTCTTAAGTCCCCTGTTCACTGCCTATGTGGCACAATGGGAGCCTCAGCCAAGACCTCTCTCTCCCGCTTTAGAACATGATCTTCCAGACGCTACGCCAAGCCACCAAGCGTGCCACAATCCTGGACATCATCAAGGACCCCTGGGTGCTCAAGTTCCAGCCTGAGCAACCCACCCATGAGATCAGGCTGCTTGAGGCCATGTGCCCGCCACCCAGCACGGCAAATCGTCACCAATCCTTGGAAATCAGTATCTGAAAGTGGCTGAGGCAGGGGGTTGAGAAAGGAGCAAAGCAGGAGAGATCTGCGGCTAAAAAGCTTTTATACCAAAAATAAATCTAATTCTGATTTAGTTTCATCAGCTGGGGTCAGACATTCTTTCCTCAGGGAACCTTAGCAGGGAACACCGCTGAGGATAAGAGGTAGATTTCTGTCCTGAGCCTGTGACCAATAATCTTGACAGCCATGAAGTCCACATTGTCATTCGCAGCATAGCTCACATGTGGCTCACAGGGGAGGGGATGCTCAGATGAATACCTGCTTTAAGGAAGCTTCATTATTCTGGCTAAGTATATGTTCATTATTTTACATCTCTTGGCACTTTAAATGTTCAAGTCATAGGGTAGAGGCCCTGGTTGCTCTGTTTGGTCATGGCTCTGCTTCTGTCTATAGTCTAAAGGGACAGAACTGTTTGTTTTTTACAAATGGGTATCAGGATATGTGAAGTATCTTGGTTCCTTCTTCCTCCTCAATTCACTATTGAAAAAATCCTAGTGAATCATGGCCCCTCACATTATTGTTCCTAGACACAGAAGTGACAGTTCAAACCAAGTCTACTAAGCATGGGTTCTGGGTAAAGGAAAGCTACTTGCCCCTTTATCCCTGTATTCTCCCTCCTTGTCCTTGAAAATGGGCTTTTCAAAAGGAAAATGGGTAGTAAATCAAGGGTATGTCTTGGGAGAGGCTGACAGGGGAAAAGTGATGAGGGAAGATGCAGAGAGAGCTCCAGTTCTAAGATAAGTAATAGATGATAGTTTCCTCAGCCTCGGCACTAGGCAACTCTAGGAAAAACCTACTTGAAAGATGAACCTAGTAGGTAACAGATTGGAACCATCTGCTCTATGTTCCAACGCCCCTTGATTACTCTGTTATTATTCATTGCCTGAAACAAAGCTCCAAGGACCAGGGGAAGAGTTTCAAGTGCAGACAAGGTAGTATAAGAACTAGGGTTCCACCTGCCCAATTTTATTGAAAGCAAGGGCACTGTAACTGCTATCAAGGAGAAGGGAGCCCGGGGGCTCCTCCTGCACCCAGATCCTTCTTCAGAGTTGAGCCAGGGATGGGAGGGCAACAGACCCTTTCTCAGGCAGGACAATACCACCACCCAGCAGGGTCCCCCAAAAAGGCTATGTTCCTTTAGCTCAGCACTTGGCATTTAAGGAAAAGAGACCAACGAAGGCAGCGTCCAGAAGATAAGCCTAGACTCATCAGGATACCCACTCAGCCAACTGCTTTAGTGCTTCTTCATCTTCATCCGCTTTGGGAGCTTTGGGGACAAGGAGACCCAGAGAAAGATGTGTCAAAGCCTCAGCCCCTTCCAACCACCCCTACAACACGCAGAACCTGCTGAATTATCTCTCCCCAGCAAAGAACCTAAAGGCGTGGTCCTTCTGCTTGCTGGGCTGCTGCTAATCCCGTATCTTCATGCAAATTTTAAAAAGCTGCCTGTTTCTCGCAGCATCTGCAGCCCTAAGCCAGGGTACACAGCTGGCTGAGTGGAGCACAGGCTGGATTTCAGTCCCCATTCCCCTTTAGCCAGGTGCCTTTATGCAGGTAACAACCTGTGAAACTTCAGCAGCAGCCCTTTCTGCCTGGTTCCTTTGAGGCAGGATGGATGAAGAATAATCTTTCCCCATATCTATCCCACCCTCTGAGTCCTTGAGACATTAGAACAGCCCTGGGTACCTGGCCCTGCAGGCAGATGGGTAGAGGGTACACTGGGCAGTTTGACTGGGGGTTCTTCCTCCTTGTCGCCCACACGTAACAGCTCCCGGGCCAATTCCTCCTGCTCCAGCTCCTCTAACTCCTCCAACAGTTCATCCTGGATAGGGGATGACAAGACTTCAAAACGAAGAAAGGAAACTTCTGCTTCTAAAATCATACCACTTTTGGAGTCCCCCCTCCCTAAACTTGCCCCACGCTTCTCTTGGGAATTGCTTTGGGTTGGTCCCTTGCTTTCTCCGAGACTTCCTGGCCCCTCACTCCCAATCACCTCATCCACGTCATCTCCAAAGCCCACAGGCCGAGAAATGGCATCAGAGATCTGCTGGGCCACCTCCTGTTGTTCTGTGATGTTGCCCATCAGTTCATCCACCTTGTCAATGTCCCTGAGAAGATATATACAGCCAAGAAATCAGGCAACTAGCCCCCTGACTTTCTCATCTCACATGAATGAAGCCCCTTGTCTGTGGCCTCAGACTGATAAATCCATGGCTACCAGGTATAAGAGATCCCTGGAAAATTGTAACTAGGCAAGTCTGGGCTGAGAAGTGGGAAGAATTCATACTGAGGGTTGTGGGTGGTGGGGTGCAGGGAGGGGGAGGGAGATAGATTGCACTCCATTCTCTGAAGAATCTTTAAAAATTAGGAAAATCGTCTTTTCTGGCTAGAATGCTCTAGCCAGAAAAGAGATATTCTTGCAGGAAGCAGGGAGGCTGACAGAGGCCTGGCCATTATATGCGTCTATACTGTAAATTCACATTTTGAGAGGTTTTAAGATCCAAAGTACAGTATCAAGCTACTCTTCCCAGTGCTTGGGCCCCCTCCACCCCTCCCCCCGTACCCACATGTCCTGGTAGGCTTTCTTCATGCTATGGGCAGCAAGCTCCATGGTGCGAAGCACTTCTGCATTGGTGGTGGCATTCTCAATGGCCTCACGCTGAAACTCCAGGGTGGATAATGTCCCATCAGTTTGTGCCAGCTGCTGTTCCAATCTTTTCTTCCTCCGCAAAGCCTGTAGGGCAGCTGACCCAGCCCATACCTTGAACATCAGAGTCAGAAGCCCCTGCTTCCCACCTGGGTCCTCCCTATTGGCATCTTTCCCCTATCACCTCTCTTATTCTTGGTCCCATGTTTCTTGGCTGTTTGTAGTTCCTGTTGAATCTTCTGCTCCAGAAACTCCTGCTTCTTGATCAGTATTGCCTCCGTCTCCTTCAGTTTCTGTATCGCCTCTTCAGGGGTTGGCCCCTTCTCCTTCTTCCCTGGAGTCAATGGAGAAGGCCCATATTGTGTAAAGGGGAAAAAATTAACCACCAATCATGGTGTGTACAGTATGTGCTAGGCATTTGACTGTGCTATTTATTATTATTTTTAAATCCTCACCTGAGGATATTTTTTTCAATGCTTTTCAGAGAGTGGGAGGAGGAGAGAAAGAGAGAAACATCCACGAGAGAGACACCTCAATTGGTTACCTCCTGCACTCACCTGGACCAGGGCCCGGGATTAAGCCTATAACCAAAGTACGTGCCCTTGGCCAGAATCAAACCTGGGACCCTTCAGTCTCTGGGCCGATGCTCTAACCACTGAGCCAAACTGGCTGGGGCTTGACTCTGTTATTTTAATCCCAAAAATGACTCTCTACAACGAATGTACTATCTTCATTTTACAAATGTGACAACAGGCATGATGATACTGTTTATTTATTTTTTTTTGTCTAAAACCCTAACTAGTAAGAGCTTGAGCAGTAATTGGAATGTGGCAGTATGACTTCCAAAGCCAATATTCTTTTGCTATCCAAGCTGCTTTTCAAGTCATTTCCATTCTTTTGTTTTTTAAATTTATAGGCTTTATTTTTTAGAGCAGTTTTAGGTTCACAGCAAAATTGAGTGGAAGATACAGAGATTTTCCATATGGCTCCTGTGCCCCATGTGCATAGCCTCCCCATTATCACACCCCCACCAGAGTTCAGCCACTTTTTTTATAACAGTTTATTTATTTTTATTGATTTCAGAGAGAGGAAGGGAGATGGAGAGATAGAAACATCAGTGATGAGAGAGTAATTAATTGGCTGCCTCCTGCACACCCCCTGCTGAGGATGGAGCCTGAAATCCTGGAATGTGCGCTGACCAGGAACCAAACTGAGATCTCCTGGATCATACATAAGTCAATGCTCAACCACTGAGCCACACCGGCCGGGCTCAGCCACTTTTTATAATTACTGTTCCTTCCACTTGCTATCCTAGGAGATGCCCACGATCCTGACACTACATGTTCAAATTTAATGAAGGGGGCTAGAGAAAAACAAACAACCTGATCTCAATTTTCCTTTCATCTTCTGCACTTCTAACAGTTATTTCCCTCTGTCCCCCAAATCTGATGTCCTTGCCTGCTTAAAATTCTTCCATACTCTCTACAGCCTACAGGATAAAATCAAAACTTTATTAAAATGAGACACACAAGATCTTTCTGGCCCTTGTTTACCTCTCCAACTACATTTCCTTCTACTTTCCTCTTCCCCTTTATCAGGCACACATTCATGGGGCAACTGGAACTACTCTTTCCCCTAAATATAACCATCCTCTTTCCAGTCTTTGTTTTGCACACACAGTTACCTCTTCCTGGGGTATCTCAATTCTCCACCTGGCATACTTCTAGCACACTATACTGTAAATGTCAGTTTTTGCTTGTCTTCTCCCATCAGATAGGAGCTTTGAGAAGGCCCCTTTCTTCCTCAACTCAGATTCCCTCTTGCCCAGCATCAAGAGAGCACCAGAGTTTTGGAAAAGACAGGAAACTGGTCGCCCAAACCTAAACAGCGGGAGCCAGCACAGCCGCCATGCCATCCACTCAGTGCCTTCCCTGGCCTCGAGCTCTTCCTTCCGTGGAAGGCAGGCAGACAGAGCCAGGCTCCCTGACAAGGCCTCCTGGCACTGGAGGCCTTGTTGGACCATCACCAGGATTTTCGGGAAAGCCTGTCTCTTGGGTTTCTTCTCCGCCCCAGGCCATGGTCTCCCCCCTACCCCTGTGGCCAGCGCCTCCCGGCAGACTAGTCTCGCCCATGCTCACCCCTCCCGAAGAGTCTGCCGAGACCACTCATCGCAAGCCCAGCCTCCCTCGCCTCTGCCCGAGGCGTCCGCACACTTCTGCAAGTTCCTGGGAGAGTGCATTTCATGACTCAGAGGCCCGCCTCGGCCAATCCCTTCTTGGGGCATCGGCAGCATCATCAACAGGCGCCAAGGAAGCCACTGCTATCACGTGACACGAGTCACCAGCCCCCAAACCACATGCTCCTTTATTTTTATTTTATTTTTTTTAAATCCTCACCTGACGATATTTTTTCCATTGCTTTTCCTAGAGAGTGGAAGGGGGGGAGAGAGAGAGAAACATGATGTGAGAGAGACACATCCATTGGTTGCCTCCTGCACTGGGCCAGGGGGCCAGAGCCTGCAAGCCAGGTATTTGCCCTCTGGCCGGAATGCACCCGGGACCCTTCAGTCCACAGGCCGACGCTCTAACCACTGAGCCAAACTGGCTAGGGCCAGGCTCCTTTTAAAGCAGCTGCTTCACTTTGAAGTATAAAAAGGCCGTCTCCACCCCCACCCCAAAATAAACTATTTGTTTCCTGGAGGGAAATATGCAGGGGATAGTGGAAGGTTTAGTTCTTCATGCCCTTGACAGCTCAGGAGAGGGAGTGGGGATTGGGCAAGCACAAGCGGATGACAGTCCTGGGTTTGCCACAAGGTTGTAAGGCACAACCTGATGCAGTCTAATGCCTCACACTCTAGTCTTGGCACCTCTGGATAGCCAACCCTGGTTCACACGCAAGAAAAAAAACTCCACACTGTGGGTAAGATTTCTTCTGTCACACAAATACACTTTAATAATTTACACAAGCACCTGAAAATGCCTTCCTGGTTTCCTTTTGTTTTATGCCTCAAATGAGGCTGGTCCACAGGACTGGATCTCATGGTCCAGCTTGGGCCTTTGTAAATGTCTCTAATCCTTGATTTAGGATTTGAAGACTCATTCCATTCTTGACATGAATGCAGGTAACACCTAGAAAGAAAAGATATATTTTATACCTAACTTCTCCTAGGAACCCTTTCTCCCCATTTCCCAAATGGTTATTCTCACAACTCAATACCCAGTTTGCTGACATCTACAATATTCCGCTTCTCATCATCAAAGAAGATCATTTGGGAGAAAGGAACTCCAGTCTTCTGCTGCAGCCTGCGTAAGACAGGGCAGGGGGTAACCACTCTGGCCTCTTAGCTCCTCCAGTCTCTCTGCTCTTCTGTCCCCCTGCTCCTACCCTCATCTCCCTCTTACCTCTCAAAGTGTGTGACCTTGCTGCCTGGATAGATTTCCCGCTGAACAAAGTATCCGACAAGGTCAAAGAGTTCCAGTAGCTGGTTGGCCCCTTTAGTTTCACCTGTCCTGCAAAAAGGTGTAGTAGATGGGATCAAGAGAGTGAAGGGCCAGAGGTGCAAGTAAATTTATGTATAACCAGGGGGAAATCAACTTGCTATTTTTCCATGATGGATGGGTAAGATTCCTGGGCCCTTATTCTACTCCATATCCTTCCTGTCTCACACAGGGGGCGCTAAGCCAATGTTTAATAAATAAAAGACACAGGAGAAGTCATAATTATAAAAATGTACAATACTTGCAAATTTGCACCGCCTAAATTCTTGTAACCAAGGGGTTACACGGGAAGTATCACGCATGCATCTGTCAACGTTAGACTGAGTGTTTTCCAGTCATTCTTACCGTGAAGCGGCTGCGATGGGCACCCCAAGGCCCCGAAATCGGTCCAGGACCTCGGGCACCTCTGGGTACAGTCGGATGATCTGGCCTTGCCTATCTCGTACAGTTCCATCACTGGAGAAGGTGAAAGTGCGCTCAGCTCCTGCCTGAGCCCCTGCACCGTCTTCCCCAGCCCGGCCTCGCCCGCCTCACCTGCCCTTGTGGAAGGGGGGGTCTACGTGCGTGTCCACCCAGAATGGCCAGAGTGTGTAATCTGTGGAAGACAGGGAGGGTTCAGCCTGGAGGGGCAGGGCCTCGAGAGCTGCAACTAGGGTTTGGAAAAGGAAAGCGCCCGACGAAACTCGCGCGGTAGGGACCCTCACCGAGATCGAAGACGGCGAGCTTTGGGAGGGCCGCCATCACCGGCGCCCGGAGCTACGCAGGGAGGCGGGGCCCCAGGCTCTCCAGCAGCCGCAGCCCCTCCAGGCAGCTGCGGTCAGCCCGACGCCGCGCAAGGGCGCCATCTGATGGTGGACGGGGGAAAGGGCTGCAGCAAGCGCCAACGCCACCGCACTCGGGACTGCAGCGGCCTCCAAGTTTCTCTCCTTCCCTTACTTCTCTGCTCCATGCAGCCTCCTGAGATTCTCTTAGAGACGCCAGGGAAAGGAAGACCTTTCTTCTAGCACCCATCCCTCATTTCATCTCACCAACTGAGACCAAAGTGATCCATCACACCCTGTGCCACTCCTCACTCAACCTTTGTTCGTATCACCGTCTTTCCATAGTTTTGAGCTGAGAGACCTCAGCAATATTCCAGCCATAAAGAATATGGTATCTGTAAAACCCTTCAGGCCTTTTTCAAATGAGGCCCAAATGTCCAGTAGGGTCACAATGGGAGAGAATTCACTCTCCCGGTTTCTACCACCCGTATCAGTAGTATGATGATAAATGTGTAACAACCAGTTTGGGGGGAGAGACTGATTTTCATTGTTTGCCAGTTACTATAAATATTCCTACCATGGCCAATTTCAAGCTACCAACATGAAGTTACTTAACATGGGGTTGTAAAGAGATGCCAATAATTAGCTCTCATGAACTGGTAAGAGCTGGTTCCAGTATGCCACTGCTACCAAGAGTCTGGTAATCTTTCTAAGGGCACATTCCCTTCCATTGTCCTACTCTTTCAGCCTGGTATAACTGGGTGTGCATTGAGTCCATTTTGATTTCAGTCATATTTGTAAAACAGAAGAAAGATTCCAGGAGGCCAGGAAATATTTTATTGACAACCAGGGACATAGCCATAAGAGAGGGAAGCACAGAGGACTGCAAATTAAAACCCAATAGCCAGCAAGGGCCCTTTGGGCCAGGAACACTGCATCCTGGGGTCCTCAAAGTCTCCTACCAGTAGACCCACAAGACTGGGCATCCAGGAGAGGGGGCAGTGACTCTGGTGTCCCAGAGAGTGATAGGATATATGATGTCTCATTATGNCACTGCATCCTGGGGTCCTCACAGTCTCCTACCAGTAGACCCACAAGACTGGGCATCCAGGAGAGGGGGCAGTGACTCTGGTATCCCAGAGAGTGATAGGATATATGATGTCTCATTATGAGAGACAGGGTAAGGAGGTAAAATGGAGAAACAGTCCATCACTGCCTAAGACTACCTCCTCCTCTTAGAGCCAACACCAGGTGGAGGACTGAACCACCTAGGATTTTGTAATCAGCTGCTGTCTTCTCATCATTCCTGCAGTGAAAGAAGGCATAAAAAGGATTAGAACTATCATCTAGAACAGGGCTCTTAACCTGGGTTTCACGGATCTCTCTGGGGGACTATAAACTCAGATGAGGGGAAAAAAAAAAAATCACATCTCTATTTTTACTAACCCCTAACTGATATCTCATATTTCTTTAAATTTTGAACATAGGCAAACCCACAGTGGTATTAGCAAAATGGGTAACCTATTAACAATAGAAATCAGATATTTTCATATCATATTACAATTGTTTGCAGATATCTTGAAAATATTTCAAAATTATGGTATTAGTCCCACCATTAGTTCTTAATGTATTAATAAAAAAGCACATATATTATATTACAAATTTGCCTTTCTAGTATTTTGATAACTTTATTCGCTCCCTCATCTTCACATAAGATTGCCACACCCTCAATCCCATTCCAAACTCACATCTGTTTACCACTGTAGATGAGCCGCTGCTGCTGTGGGGGGATTCCCTCTTTCTCTTCCACACGTTCCTTGATTCGTTCCACCTTTAGGGGTACAAGCAGTCAGGGGCTACCCGTGGTAGGTAGGGGTAGGACCATGGAAGTGGAAAGAACAGAGCTAGCAGATAGCATGAAAGCAAAGGACTAAGTTGATCAGCATATCCAAACAAATGTACATGTAGGGAGATATGCATGAAGAGGTGTTGGGCATTACCTTGTCTGTGGGTTCAATGTCAATCTCAATCTCCTTTCCAGTCAGCGTCTGAAACAGGCAAGCGTTTCATGAGTCCTACAGTCCAATACACAGCTTGTTTCCTAGGTGAAATATCCTTTCTGGGTCTCTGGGTATCTACTACGTTCTAAGAGATGAACAATTCTGGCAAAGCTTCTCTGAAGAATCAAAAGGCTTTGACCACACCTGAATTCACCAAACATTTTTAGGCTGTGAACATGTTTGGGCAAGATTCTGTGAGCGATTTGACCTTAATCCCACAGGTCATTTCACACTACCCCACCCCACCCCACTAGAATCCATGAGAATACTGGTATTATTTTGCTTGAGACAGCAATGAGAGGTATCCTAAAGAAAGCATTCTTTTGAGTCAGAAGGATCTTGTTTTATATCAATGATAGAAATTAACATTTAGATAATTCAAAGGTTTCTCAAGGACACCAGAGAGCACCTCTGACTAGCTTTTAAAGTAACACTAGAATTTAACATTCTATTCTCCCATATCTTCTCCAGACTTCTATGTAATCCTAAACTGCAGCTCTGGTCTTCTTGACTTCTTCCACAGGCTAAGGGCTGCTGACATCCAAATACAATATACTGATTGTGCACTTAAAAATGTTGTGCTCGCCCGGCCGGGCGTGGCTCAGTGGTTGAGCATCGACCTAGGATCCAGGCGATCGGGGGTTTGATTCCCGGTCAGGGCACATGCCCAGGTTGTGGGCTCAATCAATGACTCTCTCATCATTGATGTTTCTGTCTCTCTCTCTCCTTCTCCTTTCCTCTCTCTGAAATCAATAAAGATATATTTTAAAAAAACACAACAAAACAAAACAAAAAAATGTTGTGCTCCATTGCCCTGGCTGGTTTGACTCAGTGGTTAGAGTGTCGGCCCTGGGACTGAAGGGTTCTGGGTTTGATTTTGGCCAAGGGCACATGCCTTGGTTGCAGGCTAGTCCCTGGCCCCGGTCAGGGTGAGTGCAGGGGGCAACCAGTTGATGTTTCTCTCTCACATCGATTTGCACCGACCCCACCCGTTCTCTCTCTCCCTTCCACTTTCTTTGAAAAAGCAATGGAAAATATCCTCGGGTGAAGATTAAAAGAAAAAATGTGTGCTCCATTCAATCTGATCTCTCATCCATCCTTGCTCTTAAAGCTCATATCTATACCAGTCTACAGTAATCCAGACCACAAACACACAATGCAGGGCCTAATTTAGGGGCATTTCTTTGCTTCTACTGTATTCCTTATTGTCGTACTCTTCTCCACTCTTTTTCAAACTTTCAAGGACCCTTTAAAATAAGATCGATGACTTGTCCCCAATGCACTTCAATACCCATTACAGCTAGTTGTTTAAGTGTCAAACTTTCCAACTTCCTATAAGGACAGAGATTGTTCTAATCTAAGCACAAAGTAGAGTATTTGACATAAAAACAATAAAAAAATTTTGTGGGAGGGCTAAATACACCGGTGACCATGTTATGATCACAGGCAACATTTACTGTACATTTTCCAAGAATCAGAAACTATGCTGTCTAACATGCATCAATATATTTAATACTTGCTAGTATTTCTGAGATATGAACAATCACTATCACAAATTTATAAATGAGAAAAATTGGGGTCGGTCAAGTTAAAAAGCGTGCCTATAGCCCTGGCCAGGTGACTCAGTTGGAACGTCTTCCCGGGCACCAAAAGGTTGTGAGTTCGATTCCCGGTCAGGTCACATACCTACGTTGCACATTCCACCCCTGGTCAGGGCGCATACGGAAGGCAACCAGTTGATGTTTCTCTGTCTCCCCTTTCCTTGGGTGAGGATTAAAAAATAGATAAAAAATGCATGCCTAGGGAGTCAAAAGGAGAGTGTGGATCTAAACATAGACTCTCTGGTCTGAGCTCTTAGCTCTGTACTCAGTACTGCCTAACAGTCTGGCTGATCTAGTATTGGGAACCAATGTATGCTCCTGTGGCAAGTTCACAAAATAATGTTTGGTTTCTACTTATGGTCACACAGACCAGCATGAACAAAGTACTTAGGGCCTAATTTCTCAACTATGAGAATGGGTCAGTCCTAAGTATATAGTATTTCCAAAAATGCAAGAGTAACTGCTTTGGCTTTTCCTGTTTAGATGAAAAAGAATAAATTACAATGATTCTGAAGTTTCTACCCCAACTCAAGCTGGCCTGTGTGAAAAATTTTAATAGTCTATGATAAAATGAGAAAAATACTGACAGCAATGTGGTTTTCATAAAACTAAATATATTCAAGTGTTAAAATGTTCTTTTGTGAAATGACGGTGACAATATTTGGTCATTTTTTTTAGGCCCTTTCCTGACAAAATGAAAAGTATTTCAATTCTGTGTTGTCTAAAAATTATTTCACTTTATTGATCATAATACTTTAAATGCAAAGATTCTTCAAACAGGCAAGTCTATTTCTAGGTAAGTAACTTGGGGGAAAAACTTGAGCATGTATCCAAAGAGGAACGTGCACATTTGTAAAAGCAAAACACAGGAAATAGCCTCATAATAAGAAAACTATTAAACTATGGTACACCCATAGAATGATATATTATGCAACAATTTGTACACTAATATGGAAAAATCTAAAGAATGTGTAATTATATACTATTTTCTATATGCAGATATATACATATGTACACAAACAGAAGAAAGGATTAAAAGTATACATATCTCTTATAACAGTGATTATCCTTGAGAAGGGGAGAAGTGAAGGGAAGGTTTATCAAGGGTAACTCTCCCTTAATCTGTACTATTTAAATTTCTAATGAAAATATATTTCTTTATCACATGAATATTAATAAAAAGGTATTCATTCTGATTTGATAATAAAAAATTTTAAAGAGTAAAAAAGATTCTAAGACAAGGCCTAGAACTGCTCTACCAAGAGTAAGATGCTTAGACCTTATGACATTAAAAAAATAATTGGCTTGTAAAATCTAAAACTCTAGGCCTGGCCCTTTGTTTCTGAAATTGACTGTAGAAGCCCATGAATGTATCCAGAAAACAGTCTGGCAATATAGGATTCCTGGGATACTACTTCTGGGGAAATAATCATGACTATGTCCAAAAATATACCTTTGACAATGGTCACTGAGACTTTTGACACTAAAAAACTAGAAACACAATCTAAATATCAAACAATTGAGACTTAAATAAATTATGGCACAAACACAGAGGGAAAATCACAGTTCTCAAATAATGTTTAGAATAATGGTATAATTCCCATTTTGTACAAAAACCAACCAACCAGCTAAAAAAACAACCCAAATACGTGTATCTGCTTTCAAAAAAATTGGGAAGGATATACAATATACATTAGTGCTTCTACCTTGAGTTGTGAGATTATGAGTAACTTTAACCATATTATTTGTGCTTCTCAGTATTTTCCATTTTTCTACCATGGATACATTGTAACGAGAAAAAAATATTTTTAAAAAATTGTCTTTGATAAGAGTATAATAAAACAATTCTGTAAAGCAGCACTATCCAATAGAAATAGAAAAGTAATGCAAGCCACATATACAATTTTAAGTATACTAGTAGCCACATTTTAAAAGGTGAAATTAATTTTAATATTCTTAAATACACTCAAACTATTATCACTTCAACATGTAACCCATATAAAAATTAATATATTTTACATTGTTTTTAAAACCAAATCTTCAAAATGGTGTATTTCATACTTATAGCATATCTCAATTTAAATGGTAAATATGCATCTAAAATACTTGCTCTGTATTCAAATTTTGTAATTTACAGTTGAAAAAGTAGATTTATATACCCAACTTGTTCCAAACATACTTGAAAGTTTTTCAGCCCTGGCCAGGTGGCTCAGTTGGTTGGAGTGTCGTCCCGTACACTAGGTTTTGGGTTTGATTCCCTATCAGGGCACATGCCTAGGTTTCAGGTTCCATCCGTGGCCCTAGTTGGGGCGTGTGCGGGAGGAAACCAATCGATGTGTCTCTCTCACACCAATGTTTCCCCCCCCCCCCCC